TTTTTTTTTTTTTTCTGCTAGGAACAATTTTTTTTTTTTTTTTAAATTTTTAGCTGGTTTCGCGTCCAGGATTTCAAAGCCAATAGATGTTTTAAAAACCAACCACGCTGCCTCCGCCAGCGGGAGGGTGGCTCCCTTGTTTTTAATGACGCGATACGTTATTTAACGAGAAATCACGTAGCGGGTGTTTTTAAAGCTGGAAACATGTTTTTTTTAACGTTCTAATCGTAGAAAAATCACGTAAATTGACTAAATCTAAACCAACCCTTTTTTTTTTTTAAAAAAAAACAAAACAAAACAAAAAACAAACCAAACAAAACAAGTTATTTTTTCCAGCAGCTGAACTGATTTCAAGCCCCCGGTGGGTTCGTGGCCCGGGGAGCGGCCGGGATAGGTCAATGTCCTGGCGCAGGTTGCAGAGCCTCGTCTCCGCCTGCAGCTTCCCCTCTCCTTTCCCTGAATTTCAGCCGGGAGGGGACAAGGGGAAGGGGCGGGGGGGTGGTGTGTCTTTTTGGGTTTGTTTGGGGGTTTTTTTTGGCAATATTTGCCCGATGGTGAAGCGCCGATGGAATGACCCGGCAGCCACACACTACAGCGCCACCCCCCTCCATCGCCGCCCGCTCCCGGCCTCGCCACGATTCACCACCACCGCGCGGATCCATCCGTTCCCTGCTCTGTGTATAGACTGGAAGATATTTATATTATATATATTTTTGTTCAATGGTTGTTAATAGTAGACATTTAAGTTATAGCGTTTCTGATTTGACAAGCAAAGTACTGTAAATATTCTTGGAGTATATTCACACTGTATAATGTATACAAAAAGGTACAGAGGCGAAGGTATAGTTTCTATAGCGACTAAGAGGAAGCTTGTACATGGTTAGGATGACTTTTGTATAGTTCATTACCTGCACTGTAGTTGTATCTATTGCACTGAATTTCAGGCTGTAGTACATTAAAAAAAAAAAAAAAAAAAACCCCAAAAAAAAAAAAGAGAAAAACCGTCCTTTTTGCAAAAAAACGAAAAAAAAAAAAAACCCAACCCTCCCTTCTCCCCGCGTGCAGCTGGTGTGGGAGCGACTGGCACATTCCCAAAGCCACAGGCAGGGGTTTTTTAAATTTATTTTTTTTTTTAATTTATTTGTCTGGTTTGGAAGTGATGACACTTGAAAGAAAATAAAGGGGGGGGGGGACACGGACAAAAAAAAATAGAGAAAAATAAATACCCTGTGATAAATGCGTTGTGGCGGCTCTGCGCAGCGCCGAGCCCGTGTGTGTGTGTTGTGTTTTCCTTTTTTTTTTAAACAAAGACATGAAAAAGAAGTGCCAAGAGGAAGGTGTGTGGTGTGCTAACAATAAAGGAGAATGTATGCAGCGACCCAGCCGGCGCCTCCTGTGCCTTTATTTCGGCTCAGCCGGGCTTTCCCCTTCCCTTTCAGCCCTGGTCCCTTTCCCAAACGGGGGGTTGGCCGGTGCTGGAGCAGCCCTGACCCCTCTACAACCCCCATCCCCGAGACCTGCTCTGGCCCCTCGCCGGACCCCAAACCTGCCCCCAGCTCGGCCCGTGGGGTGGGAAGGGCGTTGCTTTGGGCCAGAGCTCTTGCCTCTTCCTGCGAGCGCTGGAGCCCGGTGAAGGAAGGAAGGAGGCTGCTGCTTCTTGGTGGATTTTTTCTTTCCCCTCAAGCTGATGAGGCGCCAAGAGCTGCAAATCTGAACAGTTTTGGGCAAAGAAATGCTGGTCTTGGTCACTTCAGGCTTTTTTTTTTTTTTGTTTTTAATCTGACTTCGCCCTCAAATGCACGCGCTGGAAATAGCTGTTGTAGGAAATAGCTCTTGTGAAAAGCTTTCAAAGCTCCCCAAAAACGGGTGTGATTTGCCCAGGGGGTCTTCTCATCGCTCGCGCCAACGTCGCCGTTCCCAGCCCTTGCCCGTCACCGCTCCTGGAGACGCTCGGCTCGAGGCAAAGTTAATTCTCACGCCGCCTTTGACGGCGTTCAACGGCCGGGCGCCGCGACACCGACACGCTGGCCCGGCCCCCCGCGC